GGCGAGTCACGTGGACTCCAGCCCGAAAGGAGAGACGGACCAACGGCACTCAGTTTGGTCGTCAGTGACTTCATTTCCCGCTGCCAAGTCAACTTCTGTCCACCTCGAGCGTTGCGCCACCCTACACCTGGGAGACTGAACTGGGCCCTCCTAGTTAAGCGGTGACCAGGCATACGTAGCACGTGCCCGAGCCAACGCAAGTTATTCAGTGACATCTGCTGTTCTAGGGAGATAACATGATTATCATTATCTAATACTCGACAACGCACATCATCGTTGCGGACACGATGGTGCCATCCGACACCAGCAATGCTTCGCAGACAACGATGATCAAAGACTTGGAGACGCCTCAGATCTTCAGACCGAAGGGGCCAAGTCTCACGAGCATAGGGCAGAACGGCGCTCGCAGTGGCCTTGTATACACGGCCTTTCAGATGGAGGGAAATTCCCTTCTGTCACCGAAGATGCCGCAGGTTCAAGAAGGCAGCTCTGGCCTTTGCAATGCGTGAGCTGACGTCAGTTTCTATGCGCCCATCGTTGCTGATGCAGCTGTCAAGTGAAGTGATCAACTATCTCGAGCTTCTCGTTAGCGAGGGTCAAGGGGTCATAAAGTGGCTGGTGGCCCTGCGGCAACACTTTGCACTTTGATGGTGCGAAGTGCATACCAAGTAGTGGGACCACTCTAGATAGGCTATTTAGGGTTAATTGTGTCGCCGCAACATCGTCGAAAAGCAAGACGATATCGTCTGCATAATCAAAATCAACTAATCTTTCACCAGGTAGCAGTTCAACGCCTACATCGTGAGATTCCGCACTGAATGATAAAATCCAGGATGAAATTGAATGAAAATGGGGAAATCGAACTACTCTGATGAACGCCAGTTGTGGTCGGAAAGCTATCCGATAGGCCACCGTAGACCCTGATGCGGCCGGTAGTGTTCGAGTATAGAGCACGAAGGACGTTCACATATTTCGTGAGAACACTTTCCGTGCAAGTATTTCGAACAGAGTGGATCGATCGACTGAATCGAACGCACTCTTGAAATCGATGAACACAGCTATTGTCGGTCTGCGGTATGCGTGGCGCTACTCTAACACGTACCGCAAAGTGAATCTATGGTTTATACAACCACTTCCTGGGCGGAAACTTGCCTGCTCGTCCCTAATCCGAGATTCCCGTTTCACAGTGAGGCGACGAGCGAAAACCGAGGCCAGTAAATTTGTCACAACTGGCGTTATGCTAATACCCCTGTGGTTAGAACAGTCTGTGCGGCTGCCACTATAATCGATTCACTTCAGTTAGCCGGGACACTCTTCCTTCCAGATGCGTTCGAATATGGAGGTCAGTGCTTTGCAGAGGACCTCATTTCCATCCTTAAATAGTGCAGGTGGTAGGGAATCCGGGCCAGCAGCACAAAAACGATTGAGGACCGTGATTATGTTTCGGACCTCTGCTTCCAACGGCGGATCTAAACTAACCGTCCATGACTCGTCCTGCATCACCAGAGTAAGAAGAGGTCCGGGAGCAGGGGGCCAGCTGAACTGATCTTGAAAGTGTTCCGCCCAACGAGCCATACGGCGCGCCTTATTGTGTATCAGTGTACCCGCGATGTCTCTGATTGTCTCAATGACGCCTGGTTTCCTGGCACCAGTGTTGCGAATCAGCTGGAAGAGCTTGCGGTAATTGCCTACTGCTTCTGCCTTCTCTATTTCTTGAGTCCGACTGGTCCACCAGGCTTCCTTGTCAGCACATAGGCTCTGTTTTAGTTCGCGCCTAATAGCCCATCTGGCCACATTGTGAACAAAACCAGCTGGGAGGTTTCTTCTAGATTCCAACAGTTTCACCGACCTCTCGGATATCCAGTGACTGGAGCGGTGACCATTGATAGTGCCACAAGCAGATGTTTCTGAGTCGTGCATGGCGGCCGAGATCCTATTCCACTGAAGCTCAGTGTCATTAGAACAAGACAGCGAAAGTTCGGTACGCAGTGCGTCTTGATAGGCTTGCCTGACCGAGGGCTGAGACAATTTCTCAGTTGCCAATCGGAGAAGACGCTTGGTGTGTCTTCTGGTAAAGTTCATGGAGAAACGACAGTGTACCAATGCATGATCAGAGTCGACACAGGTACTCCCGTACGAGCGGCAATCCAGGATGGAACCACGCCACCTGTAACTTATGACTATGTGGTCAATTTTGGTCCCTCGTTGGCCAGCTACAGGAGGAAGCCAAGTGGCACTTCGGCGCTCACGGTATCTAAATGCACTGTACTAAGAAACAACTGGTGCTCCGCATACAGATTCAACAGACGCTCACCGTTGTCAGTCCGTTCGGAGTTAAGCCCACCCAGCTGAGCATCTGAAGAGGTCAGACACCTTACATGTGCGTTCATACCCCTGCAAGTACTATAGTATCTGAACTAGTAGCATTGCGTAGTAGTGCGTTCAGTTCGTGATAGAATGTGTCCTTGACAGCATTTGAACTGCAGTCAGTAAGAGTATAAGCGGAAATCACAAAGAAACAGCATTTTGTACTCCTTCGTGAATCAACCTTAGCTGATGTCGTCAAACGGGCTGCACGTAAACGGCTGTTCACCGGAATCCAATAAACCAACGATGGCTGAGCCTTAGAGCTTAGAATCATACCTACACCAGCTTGACCCGTGAGTGCTGCATCGGCGTCTCCGGATGCGTGCAAGCAATAACGAGAGGACAAGCCGGGTGCAATTAATTCAACAACCCCGTTAGGGTCATTGATCCTAGTTTGGGACACACAACACACATCGATACCCAGTGTGTCCAAGGGGCGTGTGAATGCAGCCTGTTGACCTGCTTGTCTTAGAGTGCGAGCGTTTAGCGTCGCCATGGAAACGGGACAGCGTGGTCCTGGGAGGGACTTTTGCAGATAGGCGTCCGATAGGTGTTGTGGGATGGTGGCTGCATGTGGTTCTACTCTAGTGGCACTTCGGTTGCTGTCAATTAAGTTGGGAATTATAAAAGGAAAGTTAGTAATGGAGGTCGGGATGGGAGTAAGAGAAACAGGTGGAAAAGAAAGAGGGGAGGCGCCAGCAGTAGCATGTTTTCCCTTACCCGCCCTGTTGTATGCAGCAGATAAGGCGACCCTTGATTATCTGCGCGATGGCCGATGCAGGATGAAGTTTATGTTTGAAGAAAATGTCATGGTTGTATGTGTGCTGAGATACTGCCAGGTCGCCTAGACCTAGACAGGAGGAAGATTAGGGTCATCTTTCAAAGCCTCTGGCTCCAAAACCGGTCCGCAAGGCAGCGGGGAGATGGCAATGATTAAGTTTCAAAGAAATGGACACCATCCCATTTCAAACTCCCAACCTGGAGGACCACGAGACTGGGTTTGTCTGACCTCTCAACATTGACCAACCTGGTAAGAATAGTTCTCAAGCTGCCCGAAGGCCTCACCCAGTATAGCTCAATGGGTCAAGGAGGTACGCAAACCGTCGCACCACGTTCTTGTCCAGTTTCCATTTCGGCCAAAACTCGAATGGCTGATGTATGCTAGACGCACATCACTGGATCATGTGTGGCATCCGGCCACGCTTAGTGTGAAACCTCGCAAGATGTTTACCGATTTGACAGTTACTTAAGCTACTGGTTTCAAGACAACCGAAACCGATGGTACGGGGGATGGGATGCACAGTCATCGTTAAAGTGATAGACTCAAAATACGGTTGGAAATTATAGAAAATGTCAAGAACCAGTGACATGGATGAAGTTTTTGGTTTGCATGGGTTATAATCTAACCGCCTCGCATTGTGCATCTGGTATGTACATTCCTGAAATTTTTATTAACGACATGCGCGGAAAGAAACGAAATAAACCGTTAAATTATTCCGCACTACTAAATTTATCCATCTGGTAGATATCGAAAATAGAGAGCTGTGTGGTGGGGCCTAAGGTGTACAAGGTAACTACGGACGCAAATAATCCCAGTTACGGGTATACCTGTGCATGACACCGCCTATCGTAAATGAATGCAAAAGAATAAGTTATTCCGAGTATGTGCTTTTGGTGAAAAGCATCCCTGATTGCAACTAGTGGTGCGAGACCTTATCTTTGCACGACAGCCAGCTGTTTGTGACGGAATGTTGTCTACACAAGGTGTAGGCGCCTTGACCCTGAATGTTTGCTTAGGGCATTAAGGTCTTCAGGTAAGTAACCCTTCTCTCCCTCTTCTTATTCTTTATTTCATAGTTCCTCATGGTTGTATGGCAGCGAAGCATCAGTTCAAATGGCTGATGTACTGCTGTTGTTGTTGATGATGATGATGATGATGCGAGACCTATGGGTCTGATTTAGAAGCGCTTAGGTCAAGAGACGGTAACGTGCTTCCCTGTCTGCACAGATGAAGGGCCCGCCATGTATCAGAGAAAAATTTAATATGAAAATATATGACATGGTCTGTCTAGATATGCTGGTAAAAAAGAATGCACATCTTTAGCACCACCGTTCTTTGCTTAAAAGGCGCAACCATATAAGAAAATCATTATTAGCGCGAGCGGCCGTTTGAACGGCCTGTTTGACCAATGCTTGTGCTCCCGGTCGTCCCAATTCGACACTTTATGGACGACTCTTGATCACTCAGGGATATTTTCTGTTCAGCTCAACGGCTATCGTATTAGGTAATTACAATTTGAAAGTTGATTTCGACTTAGTGTTGGCGACATTTGGAACGATGAAAAATACATTTGCCGTATACGTTAAGGGTGGTTTTTAAAAAAATTCTGTGATCATGCTTTTTAGAGGTGTGTCTCGTTTTACAGAGAATATACTATTTATTTATTTATTTATTTAAAAGTCGTAAAAAAGTGTCTAATTGGGACTAACATGGGCACAAAAATTGGAAAAACGGAGCTCCAACGTAAAGTTCAGCGGACACGGTCACTCGTGCGAACAGGTCATCCAGATGGAGTGATTACTTCAAAAAAGGATAAGAGGCAAACTGATAATCAAGAGAAGATAACACTTACCGAGACCCGCTGGTTTAATAATCCATTAAGGAGTATTTTTTCACAGATTAGTACGGGATCAAAAGCGGAACTCGGAAGTGTCAATAACATGGAAGTCAGCATGTCAATGAGCTCTTGGCATAATCGGTCATAATTGCGCTCGGACTGCAGTTGGTCATTACGTGCGTGGTTTAATGGTGGCTTTAAATCAATTTTAGAACACAAGACTGGATAAATTAATCGTTGAATAAGCAGCAACGGGCCACTTGGAACACGTGCAATGTCGAGGAACAGTTTACTTGCTGAAATTCTGACCACCAGATTATTGTGGCTGAAAACGATGCGGAGCATGACAATAAATTCTGAGACCAGATGGTCACAAACAGTCCAAATGAAACTGGAGCTCAAGTTTTCGGTGGTTCCACGCCCACTAAGGTTAAAATCCTGCCAAAGGAACGGCTGCATGAGGGCAGAAGCAATCTGCAGACAACAAACGACGAGGTTGAAATTTGAGTCATGAATCAAGTGCTGTAAAAATCTTAACAAGGACGCAAGTACTGTCGGAAGGGCAAAGACTTCAGGTGACGGAAGTTCGTCCGTGTGATTGAACGAATATGTATTTCTTTGGAGACCAAAACAAAGATTTCGACCGGCGGGTGAAGACATATTGGCAATAACTGAGTCACGAAGCTCCTCAACAGCGAGACACAAGGCAGTATTGTTACGGCAGTATTCATTGGACTTCGGTGAGCCGCTCGAAGAAAGTGCTGTAAAAAGTACATCATAAGACTCCCGAGAAAGAAATGTACTCAAGTCGGCGAAGCATGTAAAATCCTCAGCATCCAAAAGAACCTCGCTATCGCTTCCGATTGCGTGATTCAATGAATTTTTCACAGATATTGAACGATCAGGGTTAATGTTGTAATGTTCACGCATAGTTAGGTAATCGTGTGAAGCGAAAATCCTTGATGTGAATAACGTAACCATCCAGCTCTGGGCAAGTTGTAGGTTGGAAAGTGGGAACAAGCCATCTATGCACATTCTTTCCCATCGGCGAACAACCAAACGGTAAGTCTCAGGACCCAGAAGCCTGAACAACGAGAAGAATGCTTGTCTGAAAGGGGACTTGTTTCCACACGTATTAGTGTACAAATGCAGTAAAGTACTACAGAGAGGCTCAAAATCAATCGCTTGGTTGTGGGACTTGTAAGATTCAAAAACGTCTTTAGCAAAGATCTGCGGAAGAGCGGTACACAGTGACAGCTTGGCATTATGCTGAACGTTAGAAGAGAAACCATGTTTCACTATGAAGGAAATAAAATCTGTCAGGTGAGGCAATGGGCGACGATTACAAATAAGAATCCGACAAAGCAAACGGAGACAATGCGTGGATGATCGTTTCAAAAGTATATGGTCAGCAGCAATACAGTCAATAAACGTTTGAACAAGATGTTCTTGCCCAGTGAAAAAACAATCACAGAGGTTTTGGGATTGGTTGGGATGACTAGAAGCAGACAGCGCGCGATTCAACGAGGTTTCCACCTTGTTGAGAACAAAGAGTCGAGAATCAAGGCTCTCGCGACAAGTAACAATGAAGAAGGAGAAGACACACGAAGTAGGTCTACATGTTGAAAACTCATGAGCTGAAGAAAGATCATCTGCCAAGGACAGTCTGGTAGCAACTACGCCCTTGAACTTAATAGCAGCCATTTAGGACATGGCAAAAAAGAAATAAGAAAAACTTGCAAAAATACGAAAAAAACTAAAAGAAAACACCAAAATGATCTACATATTAGGGCAGATCATCTTTGTATATCAGGTTGGAATTCACGCGATCCGGGTAGAACACAGCTGATGTCAAGAGAAAGGGATTACGTAACTCACTGATGGAATGGACCCATAAGGTGTTGTGTGGCATGGTACAGCCAATATTGGTTTTTGTGGTGGGGAACGGCAAGATTTTAGAGTCAACCAAAGATGAAAACTAAAATATTTAAGCACTTCTTGCAGCTATACGCGTATGTATACGTCATACTTCCAATTTTTACAGATTTCACGGGTTTGCGCAGAACGAGTAAGCTTAGCTTTTCGGTGGTTCTGCCTCGGGATCTTACGGCAAGGTCCTGATCAAAAAAAGATGACTATGAGGCCTCCCAACTGGCAAAAACTACGCGCCCGAGCGAACCCGATTAGAGTCCGTCGCGGGCTTCAACCCACCGGAGTGCAATGGTGAGCCTCCACCCGGGGTCACGGCGTCCTTCGTCACCCTGAACTCGGCGCTGTTAATTTACTTAATAATTTGCTTTCAGTTCTTATTAATTCAATGGAGTGATTCTTTTATGTTAGCTTTTTTCTGTAGTTTTCTTATTCTACTATTTCTGCTACATATTCCTTATTAAAGGTCAGGCTGATTCCGATAACACCAACCTCAAAAATTTTCCCGCCGGTCCGTGGGTTACAGGTTATCCATTTATAAATGTTTACTGTAGAAACGAGCCCGAAAGAGGGCCACTTGATTGTCCTTCTTTCATCTGAGCTGCTAAAACAAATAAACTCGAATACAAGAATTAACCATAGCACAGTGCATTTTAGATCATTTGAGTTAACGGTTTGTTGATTCCTTCTCCTTATGTCAAGAATTTGTGCATGCAATAGTTACGTTCGCTTTTGTGTGCACTTCCTAGACTCCTTCAGAGGATCTTGACCACATCCCACAATGTTGTGCATTACAGACCAATGTAAAACCAGACTGTGCCATGGTGTTTAGCGACTAGGTTTAGTCCTAATTAATAAGGTACACTGCGTTTATTATGATTGTGCTGAGATGAAGAGACATGTTGATGCAGGCTCCAGGATGAGATTTCCTCATGCTGAGATGCCACTCCAGCAGATCGTACTAAAACAAATTGCTTTAGGCAATCTATGAACCTAATGGAATTTAGTGTAACAAATATCCAAGTCGTGGATTTTTGCATAGCTTGGGCCATTTCGGTAACACGTTTTAAGCCGATTATGGTCATTCTTGTATTGCAATGTAAAGAGAGGATTTGCTCGTGCTATCCCCCAGTATGGGCAAAGAAAGAAATAAGATGTAGGATATTCAGGTGTCTACTTTTGAGACTTTCTCGCCTTCACTGCAACTTGGCTATTTTCGTTAGCTCTGGGTTCAGTATTGCCTAACACCGGAAATCACCTCACTTGGCACCAACTAAATAGATGGGGTCCGGTGAAGGCGTAAGGTTTCATTAAAATTCAAATCCCAACACGTATTAACACGAACCTACCAATGACCGCTAAAGGAAGTTCGAAGACTTCTGGTAACCATTTCATGGCGGATACTGACCTACCGTGGTCGGTGCCAATTGAGGGCGCTATCAGGTTCCGGAGCTGCCTTGTTGGCTTCAATGAATGTGCACGGCGGAGGCATGTCTATCCAGTGGAAGCGGATTTCAATGCTCTGTACTTCTTGTTGAACTTACTTTTACGCGAAAGTTTATCGTACTCCTTTTCTGCTACCTAAATCGAAACTGCTTTGACTGCAATAATTCTTGTCGTGCTATGGTGCCCCTATGTATTTTTCCGACCCAGACACCGCATATCTTAGCTATCGCGCTTTTCTCTGTACAAGCATAACACAAGGACCTGCACGTTAACTTAGCAGCAATGACGGTCATTGCGTTGTCTCATTCCAGATGACACGCGGTCGCACGACATGCAGCTACTGTGGTTAAAGACAACTCTATCGGCGCGCCGCTCCGTTTAAAAGTGACCACAAGCAGTAGGGATATTTGCATCCTAAAGACATCCAAAATGTATGCTGCGAGTAACGTTGCTTTCTATAAAATGACGTCCCTAATTGAGCAGTTCTCCCCTCCCACAGTAACTTCCCTGGTGGTGTCTACGTGATGTTCACTTTCTAATTACTTGCTTCCACGGCTTTGGAGATTAACAGCAAATGGCTGAGCTGCTTTCTACTGCTTTGCTGTCACTTAGCTTTGTAGTACTTTCCTCCACTGCTTCTTCTATTTATCATGAACATGAGCTCAGCAGGCTATTGCCTTCCATCACAACTTGACTCCGCTACTCACAACGCGCCAGCATGTTTGGCTTAATTAACCCACGCCAGGCAGCAGCCAATCAAACCTTTATTGACGTTCGCTTACCTGCTCACCCAACGAAGCCACCGGCACGCTGCTGAAATCTGTCGTGCTGTGAAGTTCATTGACCCAATACTACAGCAACAGGTTGGAAAACACTGTAGCATTTGCGGCGTCCAGTTCTATAATTGCCGTCCGCTTCTCAAACGAGATAAGTACTTTGTTCAGATCCACAAAGACGAAATTTATGCATTGAGCGGCGCAGCCCACTGGATCTGCAGCTTCTGGTGTTTACTTTCCACTCCACTGATTTTTCGACGGTTGATCTTTGCCGTAACTTGTCGCCCAACCCACTACTGGCTTGCTATCACTTACCTTTGCCGACTTCATATCCCAACTTTGTTAGACTTGCTAAAACCACGCGACGCATCGGCATTGTTCCGCAGTACTTTAGTTTTATCTGTGGAGTTTTTGAGAACACCGTCCTTTGCCCATTTTATTTAATCTCACAACCCAACTAATGGCTTAACCATTGTTGTTTGAATATAGTACATTCGGTTCCTGAGTTCGTAGAATGCATAGCCCAGGGATTTTATGGCTGTATCCGTATGTCATTGGTGTACACCTCTCGGTCTATCCCTATGTGAATCCTTTCACTGTGGTCCATCTGTGGTAAACTTGGTACCCTCCGGGACCTAGGACCAACCAGACTAAGATGGATCTGATAAACAAGGTCTTGCATGCGCCGCCCACTTGGCTCGTCGTGTTTACACCTAAGCGCAAGGATGAGCGTAGCGTCGCCGACCTTCAAACCAGACCAACAATTGTTACCCCACATGCACCGCCTCAAGATGCAAAACAGTGAAAGCACTCAAAGATATGATGACAAGTATACCAACGGGCCGCTTCCGTCTGAACACTAGCTGCAACTCTCTGAAACCCAGCACAACTGGGACCGCTGGGTTATAGCCGACTTCGAACGGCAATGAACAATGAATTTATACGGGTTAAGAAGCGTGGCTTTACAAGTCCCATTGGATAGTTGGCGGGGCTATCAACATAACAATAATGATAATAAGGATAGTAAAATAGTTAATACCTAAAATATGAAAATAAGGACTTATCGTTCGTTTCGTTGTAGTCCTGCGATCCTCTTAGATTCACAGCACCCACAGTTAACAACAAATAATTCCATGGTATACTCCAAGTGTAGGATGGAGACGTAGTGTTAAGTAACAAATTGTACGTGCATAAGTGCATCCTCCAACCGTCTTTTAAATATTGTCGGTGTCGGTGCAGAGACGACCGATTCTGGGAGAGCATTCCACGGGTGACAGACGCACATAGAAAAGAAATTTCTGCGGCATTCCAGACGACTGTATTGTTCTGCGAGTTTTAATGAGTGGCCCCTCAGTTTTGTATTGCTGCTGAGTTGCAGTAAAGGGCGGCACACATGACGTGGGTCTCGCAGAATCAAGTATGTCATAATCAGGTCGCCTCGTATCCTGCGATAGCTTCCACTGAACAATCCCGGTCGTTGCAGCCTCTCCTGGTAGGACAGATTGCGCATTCCAATTACGTTCTTAGATGCCCGGCGTTGTGGATGCTCCAGTGTACTAAGGTCGTGTTTTAGCCATGGATGCCAGGCTTATTTCGCATATTCGACATGGGGGCGAACATACGCTTTGAGCATTTGTCGAAATATGGAGCTGTTTATTTGTCCAAACGCCCGCCTCAACAGCCCGACGTGTTGGTTCCCGGTCTTCGAGGCCTTTTCGGATTGCCTGGAGCAACCCAAGTCATCTTGAACCAGGACACCCAAGTCACGTTCGAGAGTTGATTGTTACGGTACATCCTTTCCGAGATGGTATGAATAGCTGCTCTGATGTCGGATGGAAAACACCTTGCATTTACTGACGTTGAACTGCAATAGGTATTGGGTCGACCATTGATACACTGTATCTAAGTCACTGAAGCACATGTTGGTCGGCATTCGCCTGGATCCTGCGCCAGATCTTAAGATCGTCGGCAAACATTAGGAAGTTTGAAGCGATTCCCTGTGCAAGGTCATTACTAAACACCAAAAACAAACATGGACCTAGAACTGAACCTTGCGGCACACCACACTCAACTTGTATGAGGTTCGATAAAAAGCTCCGAACTATGACCAATAATTGCCGTTGAAGTAGAAAGTTGGCGATCCAGCTTAAAAGAGGGTCTCCGATCTTGTACCACTGCAGCTTGGATAGTAGTATCCGATGATCTGTACGATCGAAAGCCTTGGAAAAATCCAGGTAGATCCCACCAACCCCTTCTCCAGCGTCAGCTGCCTCGGTCCAACTACTGCGTGCAATTAGTAAATTAGTTGTACATGACCGCTGTCGACGGAAACCGTGCTGTTCTGGAGTGATGATGTTGCAGTTTTCCAGATAGCGCACCAACGCATCGGCGACTATGGATTCCATGATCTTGGAGAGTATTGGATGAAGGGTTACTGAGCAATAGTTGAGGGGGTCAATTCTGCTTCCACCTTTGTGAATCGGGGTTATTATTTCAAGCTTCCACATGGCGGGAACTTGGTTCTGGTCTAAGCAGCGTTAAAAAACTGAGCTA